AGAGGGAAACAGGCAAAAACTTAAGATCTAGCTACATATAAAGATAAAATCGGGTCTTGAATACTCACAACAGTCCACAAGGGTGCCAAGATGGAAACCAAAGGCTTTGCTTGCTAGATCCTTACTTCTTTCACACAATCTTCCCATTCTTTGCTCCAAAAGGCCACACTAACTCACAATATAAGAATAAATGAATATTAGGCTCACAAGGTCGATATTAGGGTTTGGGAGGCTGACAAGAGATCAACCTCAAAGACTTAAGGAGGTTATATAGGGTGCAAACCCTAAAATTTAGGGTTTCTCATCTGTCTGCCAACTCGTCAAGTTCTTCTTTACCAACTCATCGAGTTGGCCCAAAAAGATTTGCGGCCCAAAAGCTTTCTACTCGTCGAGTTGAGGCCATCAACTCGACGAGTTCCAAGAGGATTTTGCATTTCAAGAAATAAATCATACGCTTGAAAGTTGGGATGTTACATGGCAACTACAATGGTGCCCATTACTTATCACATGCTTGATTCTCCATTCTACATAGATCTCATTTTGGTAGGAGCACTTATACTTCTGGATGATTGTAGTTTTCCAACCTTTGTATATAGCTCGTTCATTTCTATTTTTGGCTTGTGTTATCTTTTTCTAGGTTTTATTCCTTGGCTTAGGGTGGAAGTTATGGGGAGTAAGGAACATTCTAACCGAGGAACACTTTCTTATGGCTTGTGGGCTAGATCGGACCACGAAACAATGTCACAGAATCTATATTAGTGAAGTATGCATGCTCGTTTTGTATCTCTGTAACGACCCAAAATTTAAGACCAAAAATTTCTTTTAATAAATCATTACTTAATGTAAATTCATCATTCCAAAACATAATATGAGTATAAGTTTTCAAAACACATGTTCATTATCAGAGTAAACATTCCCAGGCTGTCTAATCTATGGTGTGTGCCATGCGATCACCCCGAGCTCTTCCCTCCGCTACCGGAAGTACCTGAAACCAAAACTGAAAACCGTAAGCACGAAGCTTAGTGAGTTCCCCACCCTACCACATACCGCACATACTGGGCCACGCCCGCTACCTTGGGCCTCGCCCGCTACAACGGCCCCGCCGCTCCAGGCCCCGCCTGGCTTCGAGCCCCGCTCGGATACAGATCTGTTTTACTTAGGCCCCGCCTATTACAGGGCCTCACCCGCCAACAATTAATATCACATAAACACATAACTAAACACATACATCTGGTTCTGTCCTAAGGCCTCGGCTATCCTGGGCCTCGCCCATGTACTGCTACTGATGAGTCATGGAACCTCATCCACGCTCCTAGTGGTAGTGAGATACGGGCCCAGCCCACCCTCACTCCTTTCCTAACTTGGTCCTCGCCCCAGTTATACGACTATTGAGATGTGGAATTCCATCCACACTATGCTATTCGTGAGATACGGGACCTCGCCCACACTCACCTCTCAACCAGGTACATACATGTATCACACAGACAACAAGTATAAACTATCATATAAAAAATCCTTGGGCACCCGCCCGCTATTACTGGACCTCATCCTGAAAATCATACTAGCATACTGTGCCTAAGGCTAACCCCCGGGTCTTTTACTCATAACTACATCGGTCGGCATTGTGGCCTTAGACCCATTCACACAAAGGGAAACTCACCTGCACTAGTTGAACTTGCTGATGATCTCACTAGCTGCTGCCCGACAACTCACGGAACTCCTGCTCCCCTTGCTCCCCGAAATACCAATACCAATGCAACACTGAGTCTAACTGACCCCCGAAAGACAATCAAGTCAACCCTGGTCAAGGTCAAAGTCAACCTTCCAGGTCGACACTACTCGGCGAGTCACCCTACTGACTCGCCAAGTTCAAAATGATCAGATTCATTCCATTCGCGACTCGACTCGCCGAGTCAGTCCATGACTCGCCGAGTCTACCGATTTCTGAGTCCTGACCTGTCCAACTCACTGAGTCTCCACCCGACTCACTGATTCGAGTCTCAACTCGAAGGGTTTGGGGTTTCGCGACCTGACTTGCCGAGTCCAAGAACAGACTCGCCAAGTACAAGGCAATCTTCATACGACTCGACGAGTTGTTCATCCCACTCGTCGAGTTTCTCCACAACTTCATGCTATTCGTCGAGTCCCTTCAGTTCTCCTTACATGTAGAGGACTTTTGAGTCATGCATGGACTCCAAACTATAGATCTACCCTTCCTAAGCCTATTCGTCACGTAAAGTTGCAAACTTTACGTGTAGAGAAGGAGATCTAGGCAAAATATGCCATAAACTAGGGTTTAAGGCCAAGGGGCTTCAAAATCGACTCAATGGCTGATACTTTATGCTTCTCCAGACCATAACACACTTGGATCTGAAGTAGCAACTCCAGATCCAGCTTCTAACCCATAAGGGTGGCTAATCATGGCTTAAAAGCCCAAAACTCACAACCAAAAATAGATCTAAGGGAAGGAAATGACTTAATACCTTCAATACTTCAGAAAGGCTCCACAAACTCCAGATCTGAAGCAAATCCTTGAAGCTTCACTGATTCCCCTCCTTCTTCTTCCTTCAAATCAACCAAAAATGGCTTGGAAGCTTGAATGCACAACAATGGAGGCTTAGGCTTCGTTTTCTGAACAAGGGAGGCTCTAAGGAACCCTAATGGAGAGAATAAGGAGCTTAAATAGCACCCAAAGTCCTAGACTTAAGGTTTCCCCGCACAGACCAGACTCGCCGAGTCCACTTGGCCGACTCGCCGAGTTGGCCACTTACACCTTGACCCGGATCCCGCTCGGACTCGCCGAGTCCCTCCTTGGACTCACCGAGTCGACCCTTAAAATCAGGGCTTTCTTTCCTTTCATGGCCTTTAAGACTTTGGGTGTTACAATCTCGTTCAACATGCATCCCTTGCTAGAAGTGTAACAAAGGCTCATCCCTTAAAGCGAATCTTAACTCTAAAAATGGATTATATGTTTTTTATTTTAAGGGCGTTGTAATGAATTTCTGCCTAGGATGTTCATTTTTTTCCCTTTTAGGTTAGTTCATCCTGAGTTCAATTTTAGTATTGTCTTACTTGAGGACAAGTAAGGTTTAAGCTTGGGGTGAGTTGATAGTTTCATTTTATTTACTTCTTTTTATAGTTTATTTTATTTTATTTTTAGTTAATCTTCATGCATATTTTTCCTTTTTGTTATTTTATATCTATATAGGGTACTATCAAGTTTTTTGAGTTTTATTGCAGATGTTTGGAGAAATGGAGCGGAGTGTGGAGGGAGATTCGGAAGGCTTACGAAGTTCGAGCGAATGATTGGGATTTTTGAAGGTTATGAAAGAGAGTTAGATTTAAGATTGATCTCATTGGAGCTTACTTTGAAGATTTTATAGAAGAAATTTGAGCTTTGTGGATTGGAAGATGGAGTAAAATGGGTTTGATCAAGAAAAATTTGAAGAAGTTTGGGCGTAATTAATTATAGAATATTGGATGATATTTGGGCTATGGGTTCTTTGGACCTATATTCATTATATTTTGGGCTAAATGATGTGGTATATGGGCTCTTATAATTAGTCAAAGAAGTCAAAGATAGAGGACAAAATTTGACCAAAGAGGAAAGGGGGACAACAAATTTTTCTTGATCAACACATCTCACAAGGTTGTGTGAGATGTTACTATGCAGGGGAAATTTCGGGTTTTCAACTTTACGACTTTTTGAAGGTACTTTGGTAGGAGCTTTTGGGAGAACTTTTGGATCAGATTTTGGGGAATTTCTCCTA